GCTCCAGTCCCCAACACGCCGTCCTATTTTTAAGGTACTTTGGGGAAGGTGCAGGGTTAGATCACAGTGGCAGTTCCCAGGCACTCTTCCTGGCCCTGTAGTCAGGGATTGCTCCCAGTGGTGCCAGGGGACCATGTGGTACTGGGACTTGGACCCGAAGTTCCTGCATGTGAAGCAGGTGCGCCGACCACTGAGCCACCTCTCTGGCCCTTCAGATGCTTTTCTCTCTTTTTACTTTTTTCTGGGCTGGAGCAATAGCACAGTAGGTAAGGCATTTGCCTTGCACGTGGCCGATATGGCCGACCCGGGTTCGATTCCTCCACCCATCTTGGAGAGCCTGGCAGGCTACCGAGAGTATCTTGTCCCCCATGGCAAAGCCTGGCAAGCTCCCCGTGACGTATTCGATATGCCAAAAACAGTAACAACAAGTCTCGCAATTTGTTTTGAGACGTTACTGGTGCCCACTCGAGCAAATCAATGAACAACGGGAGGACAGTGCTACAGTGCTACCTTTTTCTTGTTTGGAGGTGGGTGACTCCACTTGACCCAGCTGTGTGAGCTTCACAGGTGGGTTAAGCTGAAGGGCACCATGGCACTGCACCCTTGCAGCATGGAAGGTGCTTTTTATAGAAACAAAAGAAACAGAAACGAAGTTCTCTGGGCCCCAGGCAGTGGCCAAGGGGCAGGGCATCTGCTGGCCTGTGCAGGGCTGTGGGCTCCATGCCTCGCTCTGTAGGAAGTCCCTCTGTGGAGCTCTCGGGGTCCTGCAGGGCTAAAGGCATAGGCTTGTGGCCCCGGCTCGAACCCCTACATCTCCTGGCCTCACACATACTGCTGGGGTAACCCAGTGGATTCCTGGTATTGCAAACAGCCTTGCCCTGACTCTGCCACCCAACTGGGCCAAGTGTCACCAGGAGTACCCCCTTGCCACCCCCTCCGAAAAGAACTTTCTGGGTTGCCGTGAAAATGCCTCGTGTCTTCATTGCAATTTCCGTTAGTGGCCTACGAATATGAATCCTTCTCCAGGTACCTACGAGCCACAGATCATCATTCCAGAGTGCAACAGCGTCTCCTTGGTCCAGTGCTTGGTTACAGAAAGAATCTGGGTATTTCAAAAGGAGAGAGAGAACGAAAGGGAATGCCCTGCCATAGAGGCAGGATGGGATGGGGGGCTTGGGGGGTCGGAGGGATGCTGGGACCCGTGGTGGTGGTGGAAAATGGGCACTGGTGGAGGGATGGGTGTTTGATCATTGTGTAATTGAAACCCAAGCACAAAAGTTTGTAAGTCTACAACTGTACCTCATGGTGTTTCACTAATAATAATTAAAAAAAAGGTATTTGACCCTTCTGGGAGTCAAGAGTCAGATGCTCGAGGAGCTCTTAGCCCCTCGGTGGCTCATGCAGTGGGACAGCCTCCCCCCAGCGCATGGAAAGTTGTCTGGGGTTCATGGCTATGAACTTGGAGGCCACGGTGGGGGGAGGGAGGAAGGGAGAGAGAGAGAGAGAGAGAGAGAGAGAGAGAGAGAGAGAGAGAGAACAAGGGAGAGGAAGAGAACAAGAGAGAGAACAAGGGAGAGGAAGAGAACAAAGGAGAGGAAGAGAGAGAGAGAGGAGGAGAGGAGATAGGGAGGGAGGGAGAGAGGGAGAAGGAGAACGAGGGAGAGGAAGGGAGAGAGAGCGCGAGAGAGGGAGGGCGGGAGGGAGACTACCCACCCTTCTACCAGTTCCTCACCCCCGATTCGAATTCATGATGGCAGGGACTCTCTGCTCTTGAACAACAGGGGCACGCCTCCCTTTTGTGGAACCCTGACGGCTTCAGGTGCAAACGAGCTTGAAGTGAAAGTCAGAAACGGCGGGCACGTCATGTGCGTTGTTGTGGATAACTTGCTCACTGCAAGAGATTTTTGGTGAATCAGAGTGCGGGGCGCTGGGGTGTCTTGGGGACCTTCCTAAGTATCCAGAGAGGGGATGGATTGCGTGACTGCCTTACTGCTTTGCCGCCTTCTTGCCGTCGCAGGTGGCACTGGTGCCTGGCACAGGGGCCCACTCCATGAACGGACGAGAGAATGAATGAATGAATGAATGAAATAATGGACAAATGAACAGACATGGTCCTAAGTCCCTTTGGGACCTTCCATCCAGAGCAGGCTCAGCTCCCTCTGGGTTCTGGTCCTTGCCACGGGAGAGTCCACGGGCTGGAGGATGCTTTCAGGGCCGGAGAGGCAGAGCGCAAGCCCGCAACGTGAGTCTCTGGAAGAATCCACGCGGCAGCTTGGAAGAATTTCTCGCGAGGCTCCGGAGAATCCACGCCGCAGCTTCCCCTCCTGCAAGACAGAAGGCCCAGCTGGAGGAAAATGGATTTTTTTTTTTCCTGGCCAGGTTTTCTCTCTCCAGCTCTGACTGTCTTGAACAAATTCGTTAGAATTTTAAATAATCCGTTCAGCAGGGGGAAGTTGGAACAGCCCTTACCCTGCCGTCACATGCCTTTGTTTAACAGGGCAGAAGACTCAATTCCAGAGAGGTGCAAAATTATTTCTAAATGAGACTTGCGTCCGAAGGGATCTTCCGCTCCATCAGCGGAGACCAGGGGGACGTGCCTGAAGCCCCCCAGTGGAAGTGGAGCTGCTCCAGGCTGGAGATTCCAGCTCTCCCCACTCTGGCCCGGCTCCCAGGGCAGGCGGGACCTGCAGGGGCACCTCTGTTCAACACTGCTTCCACTGCGCAGGGGCCCTCGCCCACCCCCTGCCTCCCGCCCCCCCCACCCCCGTCACGTCCCATCGGAGCTCGCCTTAAAGGGGTGTGCAGAGGAGGTGGGCGTGCAGCAGACCCCTTTGATGCAGCTCAAAGAGAGGGAAGGAAGTCAGCCACACCCCCGGGCTCAGGCAAGCCGGGCCGGGCAGGGCAGCCAAGGGACACCAACTTGCTCCTGGCATCCAACTTGAGCTTGGTCAGAGGCGCTGCCCGCGCTCCCCGCCCCCCCACCCGCCCCCGGGACCTGCGTGATGAAGGCTAGTGGGCCTCATCCCCTCTGGAAAGTTCATGCTCCCCCTCCGTAGGTGGAGGCCCTTGTACGTCCCTGCCTCCGTCTTCCTACCTGCCTCAGTTTCCCTCCTCACACCCTCCGGGGGACCCCTGGCGACTCGCTCCCGGCTGGAGGGTGGATGGAGGTGCCTCCTGCCCAGCTTCTTCCCAAGTGTCTGCAGGGTGGGCTGGGGGGGGGGCTGGCGCATCCTGGGTGGGGGGCTGTCACTCTGCGCACAGTCTCCTTGGCAAGTTCACCCACTCACTCCCCTCCCGGAGACCTGGTGATGCGCAATTTCCCAGCACAAGGCCACACTCCTGTCCTCCCAGTGGCCCTCGTCCCCAGAGGGCAGGGAGCCAGCCTGCGAGGGGAGGGGTGGAGGGTGTGTTGGCATGGAATGAAGCAAAGGCAGACCCGCAGATGGGCTCTGAGGGTGGGAGAGGCCAGAGGGGAGGTGAGGGCACGCGGGAGTCCTGGTGCCCTGAAGGGCCTTTCCTCTCTGCCCACCCTCGTCCCCACACGTCCACTCCCCGAGGCTCTCGCAGCCTCTGCTTGCGTGTCCGTCTTTGTCTGGTGCTCGCTGGAGCTCAGGGAACGCCGATTCGAGAGCAGCTCGCCCTCAGACCGCACAACCTTAGCCTCCCCTTCGTCTGGTCTCTCTGAGGGGGACAGACACCCCCACCTCAAGACAGAGTCTGCTCTGCAGACACGCGTGACTCCTTTACAAGTATGGCCCTGTCACTGGGATCTGGTTCACAGGGAAGCACAAGCCCCCTGGGTCCTGGCCCCCAACCCTGCCCCCTCCCAACTGTCAGAACATTCCCCGTCCGGCAGGACAACGACAACTGAGACCAGGCCATGGGCCAAAGGCCGCCACCAGCCAGTGTCTGGACAGGGGCCCTCGACTGTCTTGCTTCTTCCCTCTTGCTGGCCTGCAACACAAACGCCACCTTGGGCTGGGCCGGCGGCACCAGGACTGAGGGCTGACAGTCCCAAGCCCACCCCTCCCTGGCTCCAACCTCCCTATGGCACTTGGGCCTGGGGCCAGGGAACCATGTCCTCCGGCTGCTGTAAGGAGGGGCCTCTGGGCGTTTGTGAGGACCAGAGGAGGGGTGCCGCTCTCTCACTGGGGACCCTTGCTCCAACCCCCGAGCTTGTGATGGCGGTGGTGGGGGTGTTGCGAGGCAGTTTCTCGGCAGAGGAGCGTGCTGGGCAGGTCCTGGCGAGTCTGCTCCTGGCACGGGAGTTGGCAGGATGCAGGGGAACGAGGGAATGAGAGCGAGGGGGTAGAGACGCAAGCCGGGGCTCAGGGTCCAGCCAGGAGAGATCTGTGCAGCGGGGGCAGCGCAGGGGGCCCCCAAGCAGGCTGCTGGCCTCTAGGGCTCGTCTGCGGGCTCCCAGGCCCGTTCCTCCATGGGTCAAAGGCCCGGTTGCCATGGAGAAGACAGAACAAAACCCACGAGGACTGCGTTTGTTTATAGCTCGGATCCTCCCTGGCACATTCTCCTCCCCATGGCTTGGGGTGGGCCCTTGAGTGCTCAGTGAGCAAGTACCTCCCCCCTCCCACTACACACCCCACTCTGCGCTGGGGTCCAGAGGTGGAGATACCCTGAGGAAAACCTGTGTGTTGTGATGCTGATGCCCCCAGGTGGGGAAAGCCCCCTCCAGCCCAGAGCGGACCCCTCTGAAACCCACAGGTTGGCGAGGGGCCTCATGGGGACACTGGCCATCGGCCAGCCGAGGATTTGGAGGATATAAACATTGGCCACTGAGGTAATGGACATCCTGCCCTTATTCCCCCCAGTGTTTCTGGGGTGCCCTCTGCCTCCGTGGGGCTCAGAACCTGCTGGAGGGTGAGATACCCCACCCCCGCCCTTGGCCATTGTGATGGGGCAGTCTGTTGCTATGGTGACCAGAGACCTCCTGGCTGGGGCCTCCCGCAGCCCCTGAGAATGTGAGGTCAGGAAGACTGAGGAGGGACCTTTCTAGGGGTGCAGAGCGTGGATCCCCCTTCGGCTCTCCGAAAATGACCAAAGGAAGACGTTTCAATCCGCCTGTAGACAAGGACGGGAACTGGGTAAGGAGGACAGTGCCCTCTGTGACCCTTTCTCAGCCACGGGTGGGGTCAGGCGCCCAGAACTGAGACCAGATTCCCCTGGTTCTGGGTTTACAACTGTTGATCGCCGGAGGAGCAGCAAACCACACTCCGAGTCTCGACCCCTCTGTGCACCGGGGTCTCCTGCAGCACTGGGAGAGGGGACCGGGTCACGAGTGCGGGTTCTTGGAGGGGGCATTCACGAGGCTGTAGATTTGTCCTCTGAGAGCCATGGCTCAGGGTTCCTTCTGGGATGGTGGGTGCCCAGTGGGGTTCAGGGGTCTGGGATCTCCGTCGTCTCCGTTCTCCGGGGCCTGGATGAGAGTAGAGGCACACGGGCGGGAGGGTGAATGCCTCTGAGTTACGGAGCTATCGCCTGGCTACAGCCCTGTGCACCCCTCTTTCTCCAGCTCACATTCTTGCCCACACAACCCCCCAGCCCCCAGCGACCCCCTCCCGCATCCCACGGGGCGGGCACAGTCTGCTCTTTTCTCCAAGCACCTGCTTTGCCCAGGCCCCATCAAACCTGCTTATCTGGTCTCTGTATCACTGTCACTGTCATCCTGTTGTTCATCGATTTCCTCAAGCAGGCCCCAGTAACGTCTCCTTCGTCCTAGCCCTGAGATTTTACAAAGTGCCACATTCGAGGCTCTTTCAGGGTCAGGAGAATGAGAGTCATCATTGTTACTGGGTTTTGGCATATTGAATACGCCACATGGAGTTTGCTAGACTCTGCCGTGTGGGCAGGATACTTTTGGTAGCCTGCCAGGTTCTCCAGAGTCACGAATCACGACCATCCTGATATTTGTCAATTGCCTCGAGCAGGACCCAGTAACGTCTCCTTCATCCTAGCCCTGAGAAAATAAGAAAGTGCTATATTCAAGGCTCTTTAGGAGAATGAGACCCATCATTGTTACTGGAATTTGGCATATTGGGTACGCCACGGGGAGTTTGCCAGACTCTGCCGTGTGGGCAGGTTACATTCGGTAGCCTGCCAGTTTGTCCAAAGTAGGAATGAGATAATAAGATGTCATAATAAGATGTCGCGCGGCGGTTCTGGGAGCTGGTTTTTATAGTCTCTGAGTCTTGGCCGTTGATGGGATTACACGGTGCCAGGGGGCCAGTTGGTGGGTGTGACCCCCGCCTACTGGAATTTGGAGGATCTGGGTGGTGGATGCTCGGCCCCGATCTGAGTAGGCTTGGAGATCTCTGCCCCGGGACCCGCTTGCCTTTGTTCCTCTGCCGGTACCTTCAGGTGTGCGGAGAGTGGTCTCAGCATGGTGGTGGCTGGTCCTGGAGGTCTCCAGAGTAAGAACTAGATAATAAGATGTCCACTTCCGGAAGCGGGTTTTTATAGTCTCTGGGTCTTGGCCGTTGATGAGATTACACGGAGCCGGGGTGTAACACAGTCGGTGGGTGTAACGCCAACGTACTGGAAGATGGGGGATCTGGGTGGAGGAGGCCCATTCCTGATCCCAGCAGGGTTGGAGATCTACACCCCGGGCCCTGCACACCTGGGTTCCTCTGCCAGTTCCCTCATGCGTGAGGCTCGTTCGAACGTGTGGAGAGTGGTCTTAAGCATGGCTGTGGCTGGAACCAGAGATCTTCAGCTTCTGGGGCTCCACTCGGGGTGGGGAGGGAACCTCAACCCACCCTCCTCCAAGGGGCCCCAGTGAGGACAGCCAGGCGCGGAGGCAGGAGACTCTGCCATCTGGTCTCTAGTGTATCAATTTCAGGACCCCAGATTGGTCCCTCCCAAGGGGCGACCTTGCAGGTGACGGCTGCCCCCTCCCTGCCGCTGGTCAGGAAGAAGAGCTGACACGAGGGTCCTCGGCGCCTGGAGGGCAGCCACGGGCAGAAGCGTCGGACATCTGGTTTCAAGGAGAAAGAAGAAATGGGAAAAAATCTTGGGAACACTTAGGTGGAGGGGAAAGATTTCACTGGCTAACGGGGCCCATCTGGGGTGCCCTGAGTTCCCAAGGAACATCTTTCTAAATCTCAGTTGATTTCTCTATGAAATGGGGCAGGACAGGTGAGGGTGAGAGGGACCTTTAGGGATAAATGAGATAATTCCTAGGTGCTCCTGGTGCAGGGGAGAATTACGGAGGCTTACCCAGGCGTACGTGTTAGGAGAGCAGGTATGTGGCATCCACGATCCAAAATACACTCAGTAATGTCCTCCCCATCTTCTCGCTACCCTGCTCCATCCCGAGGACTTAAAGCATAGTCCTGCATCCCCTAGCCCCAACTCAGTGACAGACACCTAGCTGAGAGTGACCCTAACTGGCCCCCGCCACCTGCTCCGTGTGGCCACGAGAGAGTCAGGCCACTGACAAAGCTGCTAGCCGTGTGTTCCTCAGCACATGGCCCCTCAGCCACGGAGCTTGTGCCCAGCCACCTCGGGCTGTGATGGACGGGAAACACCCACCATGAAATTGTGGAGTAGAGATGAAACCCCTCAGAGCCAGTAAGACAGAGATGGGTGTGTTTTAGTGGCCTCGTGACAGTCACCAGAGCACTGGGCTGACTCTGTGCTCCCTGGTGGCCACTCCTTGATGATCATGAGGAGCAAAACCTGTTTCTCCACTCCGGAAACCCTGTCCCTGTCAATCACCTACAGAGGCGGGTCTCACCCTTCTGGCCATTCTGGTTCCTTCCTGGGATCCCCCATGTCCTACCAGCTGGTGCCTTCCTCATGCTGTGCCTGATTTTCACCCATGGCCACCCATTGGGCTAGCCTGGGCGCCAGCAGGAGACCTTCTGGGTCCTGGTGGAGAATCCCTGTCAGCTGGGATAGGGTCGGAGTGAGCCAGCAGTCACCCCTGACACTGTCACCCAACAGAGCTCCGAGTTTCTCAAGTAACAAGCCAGAAGTCGGTGGTCTGGGCTGGTGGTCCTTCCGGGAAGCCCACGGAAACAGGCTCCTTTCCAGACTTTGTCCTCCCAGTGCCATCTCTTGTCCTCCTTGTGCAAGGACAAGAAGACAGAGGCCCTGGGCTGCTGGCTCTTCTGCGGGGAGACAGCCTCTGGCCAGCGCGCAGGTGTTTCCTTCTGCGTCTTTGCGTTCCAGGGTCAACACAGCTTCAAGGGAGCTTGGGGAGGTGTTTCCCTGGATTTTGGGGGGCCACTGGAGGTGCTTGGTGTTCATGTGGTGCTGGGGGACAGGATGCAGTGCTGGGGGCCCAACTCTAGACCTCACATATGAGGCACATGCACTGTGGCCCCAGAGGAGGTGTTTTATTTATTTATTTATCTATTTATTATTAGTGAAACACCATGAGGTACAGTTGTAGACTTACAAGTTTTTGTGCTTGGGTTTCAGTTATACAATGATCAAGTACCCATCCCTCCACCAGCGCCCATCCTCCACCCCCACCAATCCCAGTATCCCTCCCACCCCCCCATCCCCAATCCCACCCTGCCTCTGTGGCAGGGCATTCCCTTTTGTTCTCTCTCCCCTTTGGGGTGCTGTGGTTTGCAGGAGAGGCATTGGGTGGCAATCATGTTCGGTCTACAGTCTACTTTCAGCATGCATCCCAGAGGAGGTGGTTTTTTTTTTTTGCTTTTTGGGTCACACCCAGCAATGCACAGGGGTTACTCCTGGCTCTGCACTCAGGAATTACCCCTGGCAGTGCTCAGGGGACCATATGGGATGCTGGGAATCGAACTCGGGTTGGCCGCATGCAAGGCAAACGCCCTACCCGCTGTGCTATTGATCCAGCCCAGAGGAGGTGATTTTAAACCACCTCAAGGCCACCCAACATTATCAGGAAGGAAGAAGGACTGGACATGTCCTCTCGGGAATTGCCAACAGTGGCCAGGGCCAGCTGGGGCAGGAAGATGTACACCCCTCCCCCCGCAGTCCTAGAGCAGAAGCTGTGGGGTGCTGCACGTGACACCCCCTCGGTCACCTGCAGCCAGCCAGGGACCTCAGAGGGGAGGCAGCGGCGGCTAGAGGGAGGCCAGTAATTGCCCCATTAGGGGTGACCTTGCTGCGTCCCCCCAGCCGTGGCGGCAGGAGCTGCTTCTGCACTCACCGTCACCCCCTGTTTAATATTTCAGTCATCGAGAGACTGAGCGCAGCAGAAATTTCACTGCCAACTAGTTAAAAAGCTATATTTCACGGTTACAATATCTAACAGAAGGGTTTATCTCGCAGCGATCATGTTAGAGCCATTAAATATATATTTTAAAAGAGTGAAATTAAAATGCTAGCACCATTTTCTTACAGTGAATGGCCTGTTTGCAGAATACAAATGAAGCCTCGGGCTAGTGGGCCTTCGGCTGCGGGCAGATGGGCTCCTTTCCGCTGAGACGCTGCCTCCGTGAGGCCCCTGCAATGGGCAGGTTCAGAAGGGACACCTGGCGGAGGAAATGGGGCTGGGGGAGCCCCAGAGGCCGGAGGTCCTGGTGCTATATTCATGTTTGATTTAAAAAAAGACAATAGTTGAAAACACTTGAAAATCATGTACAATTATTTTTATTTATTTTTATTGAATCGCTGTTACACAGTTTCAAAGCGATTCATAATTGGGTTTCAGTCATATGATGTTCCAATACGATAGCACAGGGGGTAGGGTGTTTGCCTTGCACACAGCCAAAGTAGCTGACCCGAGTTCAATTCCTCCGCCCCTCTCGGAGAGCCTGGCAAGCTACTGAGAGTATCTTACCCGCACGGCAAAGCCAGGCAAGCTACTCGTGACGTATTCGATATGCCAAAACACAGTAACAACAAAGTCTCACGATGGAGACGTTACTGGGCCTGCTTGAGAAAATCGATGAACAACGGGAGGACAGTGACAGTGACCCCTCCCTTCACCAGTGACATAATGTAGAATTAAATAGAAATATATGTGTTGATTTTGAACATTTTCCAGAATACATACCGATGTTATGTCGTTTTAAAATTTTACTTAAGCACGCAGCCAACATGGCTGACCCGAGTTCGATTCCTCCGCCCCTCTCGAAGAGCCCGGCAAACTACCGAGAGTATCTCGCCCGCACGGCAGAGCCTAGCAAGCTCCCCGTGATGTATTCGAGATGCCAAACACAGTAACAACAAAGTCTCCAATGGAGATGTTACTGGGCGCGCTCGAGCAAATCGATGAACAACGGGAGGACAGTGACAGTGACAGTGACATCATGAGATACACAGTTAAAAGTTGTTCCTGATGGGGTTTCAGTCATACAATGTTCCAACACCCGTCCCTCCACCAGTGTACCTTGCTCACCACCAATATCCTCAGCTTCCCTCCGATGCTCTCCCAGCCTGCTGGAAAAGAAGACACTTTTCTTCTCTAATGGTGAATACTGCTACTGAAAGATCACTCTCCCTCCTTAGGGCACACAGTTCTTGTCTAGAGTGATCATTTCCAATTACTGTCATAGTGGTCCCTTCTCTGTCCAAACTGCCCACCCCACAACTTATGGCAAGCTTCCTACCACGGACCAGTCCTCCTTGCCCTTGTTTCTACTGTCCTTGGGCATTATTCTCATACTATGTGTAGTATGAGATTCACTCAAATGAAAGATAGAATCCGGAGTTCTGATCTTCGTCAACGCTCAAGAATCAGGGACGCTGTCTCATTTGCCAAGGCATCAAAAATCAGATGGGCTGGACACGTAATGAGGTTTACAGACAACCGCTGGACTAGAGCCATTACTGATTGGATTCCACGGGACATCAAAAGATCGCGTGGACGCCCACCTACAAGATGGTCAGACTTCTTCGTCAAGACCCTGAATGATCGGTTTGAGGCTCTGCATGTTCCTAGAACGAGCAGATACCATTGGGCTACGCTAGCACGCAACCGGGATGAATGGAGACGTTACTGGCACCCGCTCGAGTAAATCGATGAATAACGGGGATTAAGTGATTAAGTGATGTGTAGTTTAAAAAATATCTTGCAAATGAGTGCGATCATTCTATGTCTGTCCCTCTCCTTCTGACTCATTTCACTCAGCATGATACTCTTCATGTCTGTCTATGCTTAAGTAAATTTCATGACTTCAGTTTTCCTGAGAGCTGCATAGTATTCCACTGTGTGGATATACCATAGTCTCTTTATCCAGTCATCTGTTCTTGGGTTCGTGGGTTGTTTCCAGATGCTGCCTATTGTGAATAGTGCTGCAATGATCATCGGAGGGCAGATGGCTTTTTTGCATTGTGTATATTCCCAGGAGGAGTGTTGCTGGGTTGTGTGTAAGCTCAATTTCTAGGGCTTTTCTGAGGAATGTCCAGATTGTCTTCCTAAAAGGCTGAACCAGTCTGCATTCCTATCAGCAATGAATGAGAGTCCTAATTTTATCTCATTAGTTTTTTTTGGTGAGGCCAAGCCTGGCAGTGCTCAGGACTTACTCCTGGCTCTGTGCTCAGGAACCACTCCTGGTGGTGCTCAGGGGCCCCTATGTGGTGCCAGGGAGGGAACCCTGGCCAGCCAAATGCAAGACCAGAGCCCCACCTACTGTATTATTGCTCTGCCCCCTGAAGTTTTTCTAGGGCCCACTCTGGCAGTGCTGGGGGCGGTATGTGATGCCAGGGCTTGAGCTCAACAACCTTCCACTTGCCAGTCATGGGCTGCACCAGGTGAGCCATCTCTTCAGGGGGGTGGCCCTGAAGAGGTGCTGAGGTTGGGGTGAGCTGCACTGGCTATCGGTGCTCCACGGACCCCTTTCAGGAAGGGGCAGTTCCTTCCACTCCCCTCCCCCCAACCCCAGTGACAGTCCCGCCTCTCATCCAGGCCTCCCTCTGCCATACAGAAAGCATGGAACAACTGGACACCATTAAGAAGGACTATTGGCAAGAAGGCTTGGAGGTCTCGGCCCCGGAACCCGCGTGGCTTTGTCCCTCTGCCAGTACCTCCAAGCCTACTCGAATTGGAGTCGAGCATCTTCCACCCAGATCCTCCAAATTCCAGTAGGCAGGGGTCACACCCACCACCTGGCCCCCTGGCGCCGTGTAATCCCATCAGCGGCCAAGACTCAGAGACTATAAAATCCAGATCCCGGAACCGCGCGGCCGCATTCGTGGCTGCGCGACATCTTATTATCTCATTCCTACTTGGGACAAACTTGCAGGCTATCGAATGTAGCCTGCCCACATGGCAGTCTGGCAAACTCCCCGTGGCGCACCCAATATGCCAAATACCAGTAGCAAGGATGGGTCTCATTCTCCTAAAGAGCCGTGAATATAATCTCAGGGCTAGGATGAAAGAGACGTTACTGGGGCCTGCTCGAGGCAATCGACGATTAACAGGATGATGAAATGAAATGAAATGAAATTGGCAAGAAAACAACTTAAATTGAGGTGGGGGGTGTGGGGTGTTGGACCACACCCAGTGACCCTACGATGGACCACAAGCAACAAAGGTGTCCTAGCTGGTGAGTTATTGCTCTGGCCCAAGAAAACACACTAAATGGGAAGCACGTCTGTCTAACCCAGGCTGGGGAGCGAGCTCTCAAAAGAGAAAAGGGGGGGGGGGTGTGTGGACCAGAGCCATAGGACAGTGGGTCGGGTGCACCTGGCCAGTCTGGCACCTGGTATGGTCCCCAGCGTCCTTCCAGGAGTGATCCCTGAGTGCATGCCCGGTAGTCACCTCTGAGCACCGCGGAGTGTGTCCCCCAAAATATAAACAAAACCCAAGAAAAGTATATGTGTGTGTGTAACAGAGAAACGTCACGTGTGGTTTAGAATGGAAATAAATGGAACGGTTGGGGCGTGGTCTATTAGTATGTTCAGGAGACGGTCGAGTCCTCAGGGGCGTGGCTTGGCATGTTAATGAGGAGCTGCACGTCGCCGTGGGCGTGGCTTAATATGGTAATGAGGACCTTGGCGATCAGAGGTGAAGCTTCCACTGCAGTCTCCACTGACCAGGTCTGTCCACCCGGGCCTGGGCTCCTCGGTGCAAAGGTGTTTGTAAGGCTTCGCCTGGCCCAATCAAAGCTCTGAGTGGAGGTGGGTGTTTTCCCTTTCCCCCCCGCAGACCGGTGACCCCCTAAGACCGAAGCCCTCGGGCCAGTCTGGTTTGGTTTTCTGAGCCCCAGGGAGGGCTAAGTTTTGTGGGTGCAAAATAAAGGGGTGCAAAATCGCAGATGGTTTCAGTTATAGGATCAACACGGGTAGAAGGACCCCTCGGCCCTCACCGACTCGGGATAACCCGAGGGGAGGTGCCTGTGGGCCCGGGTGGGGTCCAGCTGCTCTTTCTCTGCAGTGACCCCCCCGACCTTGTCCCCACCCGTGTGCGCCTTCGGGCTGGCGCCCCTGGGGCAGAGCCGAGTCCCTGGCCCCGAGGACGGGGCGCCTGGCCCGCCAAGGCTCCTCGCCAGCCTCTCCGGCCGGTGACCAGGTCCTCCCTGCTGCCAGGCCCCGCTGGCCTCGGGCCTTGGAGACCCCCAGCGGTCGTTGCCTGGGTTTTTCTCTGGGGCCGCCTCTGTCCACCGGAGGCACCCACGTGGCCAGTCGTCACGTAGTAGAGGTTAATCGTGGCCTCTGCTCTTCTGCCAGTTCCTTCCAGATGGGCCCCCACCGGCGACCCCCGAATCTGTCACCAAGGCCATGCTCAAGGAGGGCTCCTCGTCCTTCCTGTGTAGGCAAGTGGACTGCAAGCTGCCGTCCATCTACAAAGTCCGGGAAAAGGTGAGAGTGCTGGCCAGGCCTTCCCGCCCGCCAACACAAGGTGCACACCTGCGTGGGTGATGGACAGACGATCTGGTCAGAGGAGACCTACCCGGGGATGCCCCGCCCACCCGGGGGACACCCCACCCACTCGGATGCTCTGTCCCCAGAGACGCCCCGCCCACCCTGGATGCTCCGCCCACCTGGGGACGCCCCACCCACTCGGATGCTCCGCCCCAGAGACGCCCCGCCCACCCAGGGGAGCTCTGCTCACCCAGGGGACGTCCTGTTCACCCAGGGACGCCCCACCCACTTGGATGCTCTGCCCCCAGAGACGCCCCGCCCACCCAGGAGCGCTCTGCTCACCCAGGGGACGTCCTGTCCACGTGGGGACGCCCCACCCACTCGAATGCTCCGCCCCTAGAGACGCCCCTCCCACCATGGATGCTCCGCCCACCTGGGGACGCTCCACCCACTCGGATGCTCCGCCCCAGAGACGCCCCGCCCACCCAGGGGAGCTCTGCTCACCCAGGGGACGTCCTGTCCACCCAGGGACGCCCCACCCACTTGGATGCTCTGCCCCCAGAGACGCCCCGCCCACCCAGGAGCGCTCTGCTCACCCAGGGGACGTCCTGTCCACGTGGGGACGCCCCACCCACTCGAATGCTCCGCCCCTAGAGACGCCCCTCCCACCATGGATGCTCCGCCCACCTGGGGACGCTCCACCCACTCGGATGCTCCGCCCTCAGAGACGCCCCGCCCACCCAGGGGCGCTCTGTTCACCCAGGGGACGTCCTGTCCACCCAGGGACCCACCACCCACTCGGATGCTCTGCTCCCAGAGACGCCCCGCCCACCCAGGGGCGCTCTGCTCACCCAGGGGACGTCCTGTCCACCTGGGGACGCCCCACCCACTCGAATGCTCCGCCCCTAGAGACGCCCCTCCCACCATGGATGCTCCGCCCACCTGGGGACGCTCCACCCACTCGGATGCTCCGCCCCAGAGACGCCCCGCCCACCCAGGGGAGCTCTGCTCACCCAGGGGACGTCCTGTCCACCCAGGGACGCCCCACCCACTTGGATGCTCTGCCCCCAGAGACGCCCCGCCCACCCAGGAGCGCTCTGCTCACCCAGGGGACGTCCTGTCCACGTGGGGACGCCCCACCCACTCGAATGCTCCGCCCCCAGAGACGCCCCTCTCACCAGGGGATGCTCCGCCCTCCTGGGGATGCCCCGCCCACCCAGGGACGCTCCGCCCACCCAGGGTCGGTCTGCTCATTCCACCTCCTCCTGCAGACCAGCTCTTGTTCGTTCCCTGGACCCCCGGACCCGAGAGCTAGCATCCCCAACTCTCATGCTTGTCTCAGCCATATCCTCTCCAGAAGGAGCCAGCTCCTGGACCCCACACTCGTGAGAAGGTCCATGGATGGACGTGAAGCCACCCCGTTCTTCCCCACTGGGGCACAGGCTGCTTCAGGGACAGGAAGTGACCTCGGGGGCTAGGAACCCCACTGGCCAGATGAAAACTCTTTCTAGCCTTTCCTGAACCGAGAAACTTGTTTCTTGGCCTCTAAAGGTTTTGAAAGAGAATTTGCATGTGCCGCAGCATGTTGGCAATGAGGCTGAGTCCTGAAGTCTTAAGCTGGTGGCATAACTGCCCCCATCACCCTCCCCCCCCAGCTGGGTGCCCCTCTAGGGGGACATCTAATGCTTACGTGGGACTTCCCTGCGGCATCTTCTCTCGGCTCTGCTCTGATGCTCCTTTCCCTCCCCCATGCTGGCAGCGAGCAGTGGACAACAACTTCCCCTTCTCTGACCACGACAATCGGCACCGATTCCAGGACTTCGGACACTACCTGGACTTGGTGAGCATCCCCGGGTGACCCCGGGCAACCAGAGCGGGGCTCTTGCGTTCTCAGGCTCGGACCCCAACAGCAGGTCTAACCAGACAGTGTAAAACATGCAGGAAACTTTGAGTTCCATCTCTGACCAGCCTCCTGCCTGGCGTTTCTCCAAGTGTCTTTCCATCAGCTGGTGCCCACGCGCGAGCTTTCTTAGGAACACGCCTGTCCGTGTCTCCAGGCGATAAGGCAGGGATCTGTGACCAGGAAGAGTCAAGAGTTTCCCTAATAACAGGAGTTGTCTTTTCTTTTCTTTTTTTTATTAATTAATTAATTAATTAATTTATTGAATCACTGTGGGAAAAGTTACAAAGCTTTCAGGTTTAAGTCTCGGTCGTGCAAATATCAAACACATTTCCCTTTACCAATACTAATTTTTCATCACGAAGAACTCCAATAACCCCCCCCCCCCAACCCTCCCAATGCCTGTGAGGCAGATGAATTCTAGTTAACACTCTATTTACTTTGATTCGATTCATTGTTTCGACAAAAGATGCACCATTATTATTTAGAATTTACACCTCCAAATCAGACATGCTGAAAAGGCACTGTGAGCAGTTGTCTTTTCTGTTGAGGTGGTGAATTCTTTGTCATTGGAGAAAACAAAATCCAATAGCATGCAGTTGTAATAAGTACCAGACAACCGTGCAGTGAAATATAGATGCAACTGAAAGTTCTTTGGAAGCCACCTTGTGTGAAAAGGAGGAGCTGAAATTCATTTTGTGAATGTTTTATTTAGTCCCATCATTCCTCCAATTATCTTTTTTTTTTATTAGTGAAACCCCATGAGGTACAGTTGTAGATTTACAATTTTTTGTGCTTGGGTTTCGATTATACAATGATCAGATACCCATCCCTCCACCAGTGCCCATTTTCCACCACCATGGATAATATCCCCCCACCCCCATCCCCCATCCTCCCCTGCCTCTGTGGCAGGGCAATCCCCTGTGTTCTCTCTCTCCTTTCGGGTGTTGTGGTCTGCAAAAGAGGCATTGAGTGGCAAACATGTTCAGTCCATAGTCTACTTTCGACATGCATCTCCCCTCCTGGGGGGATCCTCCCAACACCCTTTATTTGGTGCTCCCTTCTCTATCTGAGCTGCCCTTTCCTCTAGAATGCCCGGCTGGCCACTGAGCTATGGAGTAATCCTCCTGGTGCTGATCTCAGCTTCCTCTAATTATCTTAAAGGCAATCAATATCAAATTATTAGAATACGTTTCTCAGCCTGTTTTTAAAACCTTAGTTGCACCTTACACTTCCATTCAGTTCGGAAGACCCCTTGTTCCCGTGCTCCACTGCACATGGGGTGGGGTGCTACCAAACTGGAGAGGGCGATGCTAACTTATTTTAGGTGGCATCCCACGGAGAAGCTGTACCAGCCTTGAAACTCTGGGCTGTGGTGGTGAAGACCATTAACATGCTCAGGTGATGGTGACGATGCTGGTGGTGGATGATGATGTTGAGCCCGATCGTGAGGGCAGCGTTGATGATCACAAATACGGTGGCGCAGTGATAGGAAAGGTGAGGACAGTGGTGATGATGGTACCCACCATTCCAGAATCTTCCACAGGTTAACACCCCATGCTGTTTCATTCAATCCTCGAAACAACTTGATTGGCAAGCCAAGGTTTTATCAGACCTGGCCTAGAGATAAGAAAACCGAGAGCCTGTGAAGTTAAGCAAAATTTTTCCAGAGTCGCTCTTTCATTGAGTCTCTAATATCTGAACTAAATTGAAGAAGCGAAACAAAAAAAAAAAAATCTTCTGACTTGCTTTTGGCCAAGTATTGAATAGGGAACCAGATTACCAACGTTGCAACGTTTCAATTGAAAAGGAATTTAAATTGTAAAAGGCTTTCTAAATTGCCACTGGAATACATACACATCCTTTAAAACTTGCAAATAATCTAAAATTATGTAAAATAAATATTTTACACCCTTATTCACACCTTCCTCACAATTTCGACTTCACAATTCACTAATAATGGCTTGGTGGGTAAAATTTGAGAATTTTGCAATTCATATGCAAAACACTCATCAGTGTATATCCTGTTAATGATGCAAACAGGATTTTATACTACATATATTTTTATCAGAGTTATGCGAGTCTCACAGAAAACATTGGAAGCGTTCCAACTTTCTCTGAGGTTCTGGAATGGCTTATATAATGTACAAATCTTCTGTTTAATGAAGTTTACACAGAATTTGGCCATGAAACGATTTGGGTTTGATGTTTTGTTTGTTTGTTTATTTTTGGGCCACACCTGGTGCCAATCGGGTTATTCCTGGCTCTGCACTTAGAAAACATTCCTGAAAGTGCTCACTGGAGGGGACTTACTGGAGGGGACGCTGGGGATCAAACGCTGGTCAGCTTCATGTAAGGCTCACCACCCGCTGTGCTATCTCTCTGGCCTCTGATATATTTTTTAGAGGTTTAAGAAACTACCTTTTCAGCTCCCCCCTTTAATCTCTTCTCCTTTTGAGTAGATTTTGCTAATATGTTTACCTAAATCTTATTTAGGGTATTTCAGTTTGGTATAATGTGGCTTAAAATTCTCTTACTATCATTTAACATTTCTTTCAGTTGCTTACTTAGTTTATATGCTTGTAACTGTTCTGATAATAAATTTATTTTAACTGTGGATACTGCTTGGTTTATTGTTATTGTTTTGCTGTTATCCCAAATGCTTTACCTTTTTCTAACTCTTGTCTGATTGCTTCCAAATAGTCTGCAGTTTAATTTTAAATTTCATTAAACTTGTACAGTTTCTTTAAAATGTACAAGATCACTTGATCACTTGACATCCCGTTACTCATCGATTTGCTCGAGCGGGCACCAGTAACGTCTCCATCCATCCCTGTCGCGTGCTAGTGTAGCCCAATGGCATCTGCTCGCTCTTAGGAACACGAAGAGCCTCAAACCGATCGTTCAGAGTCTTGATGAAGAAGTCTGACCATCTTGTAGGTGGGCAGCCACGCGGTCTTTTGACGTCCTGTGGAATTCAGTTGGTAACGGCTCTAGTCCAGTGGTCATCTCCAAATCTCACTACGTGTCCAGCCCATCTAATTTTTGGCAAACGAGACAGCATTCCTGATTCTTGACCTTCGATGGAGGTTGGAACTCCGGATTCTTTCTCTCACTTGAGTGAAGCATGATACTCCAAGCATAGCTCTTTTGATTCCTCTTTGGGAGACCCGGATAGTGTTCTCATCCTATTTTTTGTTTCTGTAGGGCCCAGGTCTCTGAGGTGTATGTTAATGCAGGAAGAACAGTGGAATAGAAAAGATATGCCCAGAGCTGGAGATTCTTCATCCTCTTAGCTATTTTTTTGACACTCTTGAAGGCGTTCCAAGCTGCTCTCTTCTTCCTGAGCAATTCAGGTGCCAGGTCATTTGTCATGTCGATTTCTCGACCTAGGTACACGTAACTGTTGCATTCGGAGATGGTCGTCCCATTGAGAGCGAATGGAACGTTAGGAACAAGACTGTTTCTCATAAACATTGTCTTTGTGAGATTCAGCTGTAGTCCGACCTTTCCACACTCATGGTCGAAGTCGGCCAGCATTTGTGCTGCTTGGTTAATGTTTGGTGTTTTTAGAACGATGTCATCAGCAAAGCGGAGGTGGTGTAGTTGCCGACCATGTATCTTCACTCCCATTCCTTCCCATTCCAGTCATCACATGACGTTTTCGAGGTGCTACGGAAGAGGATTTTGGTGAAATGGTATCACCCTGCCGCACCCCTCTCTTGACATCAACGATCACTTCTTTGTAGAATGGTGAGATCCTGGTAGTGAATCCGCAATACAGCTCACGGAGGATCCTGATGTATTGGGCTTGAATGCCCTGATTGGCTAGGGCTTCAATGACCGCTTCCGTCTCAACAGAATCAAAGGCCTTCTTTAAATCAATGAATGTTAGACAGAGCGGCATCCTGAACTCCCGAGAAACCTCAGTGAGCTTGGTTATCGTGCGGATATGGTCGATCATGCTGAATCCTGTACAAGAATGTTTTGAATTTTCTGTAAGCTTAGAATTCCTTATCATCATCCCTTAAAGTTAAAAAAAGAATTGGGCTTTACCCAGCAGTGCTTGGCTCAGGTATCACTACTGGTGGGGCCCCAGGGCCTGTATGCTATTTAGGGGGATCAAACCTGACTGGCAGCATGCAAGGCACATGCACTATATGCTATACTATCTCTCTGGCCCTACTGTTATCCTTTTATTGATGCTGTCTCTATTTGTGCATTATAGAAATTTTATAGAATTTACTTTTTAATTAGACATTCAGAGCACTGGGCAGAAATCACTGGGAAGAATAAAAAATTGTTTTTATTCTTTTAAATTGTACTTATTTTATTGGGCTGGAGTGATAGCACAGTGATAGGGCATTTAACTTGCGTGCAGCTGGCCGGCTGAGCCGGGTTCGATTCCTCCGCCCCTCTCAGAGAGCCCAGCAAGCTACCGAGAGTATCTTGCCTGCATGGCAAAGCCTGGCAAGCTACCCATGATGTATTCAATATGCCAAACACAGTCACAACAAGTCTCACGATGGAGATGTTACTGGGCCCGCTCGAGCAAATCTATGAGCAACGGGAGGACAGTGTTTACAGTGTTACTTATTTTATCATAATAATTCAGGTAACATTCAATAGTGTTCATGTTTAAGGCACTGATGTACAAAGTGAGGTCATCCCCCCCCAAGTGTGCAAGGCCCTCACATACGGTGCCATGTCACCTTTCGTCCCCTCTTCCTCCTCCCCATTTCTCCCCACTATAACCTGGGTTTTGTAAGCCAAGGCCAAGGGTTTGATTCTGCCACTGTTTGATTCTGCCCATTTGTCTCTCTGTAAACCACAAATGAGTGAGGTCAGCCAGCCTTTGTCCTCCTCTCTGACTTATTTTGTAGAACGTTACCTTCATTTCCAAAGAACACATTTTTGAGAATTTAATCCATTCACTTTAT